ACTGTGAACTGGAAAACAGGGACTGAAACTGACTCATCTTTTAACCTTTCCACCCATCCCTAAATACCTACATAGTTCTTGGCCAAGTAGATACTCAGTAAATATTTGGCAAAAGTTATTATTAGGATCAGGAAGGTAAATGGCAGTGTGGTCAAAAGGAAAAAAATATGAAAATAGTGGAGACTCTGAAGTAAAGAAGAAAAGAGATAGAAAGAGATTCAGAGAAACGTGTAAGAGAGGGAGTAAAGGAGTGAAACACAGATGCTGGGAAGCCAAGTAACACTGAGAAAGGGAACATGGCGAGGTGTGTGAAATAAGCGTGATACAATGAGTCATCACTTCATACTCTTGGGCACTTCTGAAGCTCATCTAGCCCCACTTTTCCCTAGAAACGAAGAGGGATGGAAGGCAGAAAAGGCCAGAGGGGGAGTGAGGCAACCAACACTACAGGTTATGAGCTTAGCCACTGCCTTTGGCCTGAGTCAGGAACTGGCCTGCTCCCTTGGCCTCCTTTTCCTCAGCCTTTCTCTTCTGATCCAGGGCTGAGCTTTGTCTCCTCTTTTGTTTGCTACATGGAGGTTCATGTATACACAAGTCTCATATGTGGGAACAAATGGGCACATGTGTGCATGCTTGTTTCCTATTGAGTTTTCTTTTTACTCTGAAAAAAAATCCACAGGCAGTGTCATAGGAAGCCCCTACCTGTCCTTGCATTTGCTGTGTCAGAGGGGAGTATTTGCATAGCTCCCTGGGAAGGCTGTGGCTCCTACCTGCAGCTTTGCAAGAGTGGAAAACCCTGGTGTGGCCCCAGCTTGCTGAACACATTTACAGTGCATGAAGGGTGAGATACTGTTGAAATGATGCACGTAAACATGCCGTAGTATTTATTGTGTCTTTACGACGAAATGACTTTCAGACTCACTGAGCTCTCTTCCTCACAGGAGATGTGCCACTTGATGGTTGAAGCCTTTTGGAGTTATTTCTCGGGTAACCAAAAAGTGTCTCGCGCCTAGAAAGCAGCACAGTGCAGCACTGGATAAAAGTCAGGAGCCCAGGTGGCTAGTGTGGGCTCTGCTACTCAGTCTGAGGCTGAGTTTTCTTGTCTGTCAAATGGGAGTAATCTCACCCACCAACCTCATAGGGTTACTGTGACGATCAAATCACATGATTATATAGGACCCTTCATGTGACCAACATTTCACAGTTTTCTGGTGATTTCTACTACCATTCTCTCATCTGATCCTCTCAACAACCGTGCCAAATATTTTGATCCTCATTTTGCAGATGAAGAAACTAAAGCTCAAAGAGAGGTGACTTGGCCAAAGCCACATAGCTAGTAAACCAGGATAATGCAAGTTTTTTGTTTTCAAACTCATCTTCAATTATCCCCAGACACAACCTGGCTACTCAGTGCTATTGGCTTCATGGCCACTGTTTCTTAACTTCCCTCATGGCACCTCCTCCCCACAGCCTCTGAGAGTGCTCTGTCTAATGAATTAATTAGTTTTTGTTTTGTTCCCCCCTTCTCTCCTACTGTTTCTGGCCCCTAGAAGAAAACACCAGCAGCCCCAACAAAGAAAACCACCACCACCTTCAACATCGTGGGGACCACCTACCCCATCAACCTGGCCAAGGACACTGAGTTCCCCACCATCTCCAAAGGCGCTGCTCCCAGTGCCTCCTCCACCCCAACAATCATTGCTTCGCCCAAGACCACCTACGTGCAGGACATCCCGACTGAGACCAAGACCTACAACAGTGTCAGCAAGGTTGACAAAATTTCTCGCATCATCTTTCCTGTGCTCTTTGCCATTTTCAATCTGGTCTATTGGGCTACATATGTCAACCGGGAGTCAGCTATCAAGGGCATGATCCGCAAACAGTAGATAGTGGCGGCTCAGCAACCAGAGCACTGTCTACCCTAGGAAGCATCCAGGCACCCAAACCCTGGGGCTCCCCTTCGTGTGTTTCAGGATCTTTCATTTAACCCTCTACCAAGCCATGACTCTCAAATCATATTTATGAATCTCAATGAAAAAAAAAACAAAAAAAATTGCCCCTCTAACATTGCTGAGTGTACCCTCAGAGCCAAACACTGCCATTTGTCCAAATGCTCATCTTAGTCTGCCAGTCTCCCCAAGCTGAGGGCACTACATGTATCTTACTGCACTCTGCCCTCTGCAGAAAGAACAGGAGACTCTACTACCTATAGTGGGAGCCTTGGCTGTTTGAGAGGTCCACACCAAGGACAATTGTGGACTGATGCAGATCAGATGATTCTGACTCACTAGGGAGCTAGGCTGGGCTATTGCATATGGGAAAGTCACCTCCCTGCCAAGACAATTAGTCAAATACTGGATGGGGCAAGAAAGTTGGGCTTGGTGGTAGTTGAGGCTTGAAGTCTGGCTCAGAAGAGAGGGCTGCTGGCAGGCAAAAGTCAGATTCTATCCTCCATACCCGCCACACCCCAAAGCCTAGCCCAGGCCCAAGAACTTTGCTCCCATTGTGTCAGGGACCTCTGGTCCTCTGTTGATGCTGATTCTGAGAGGGGTGAATCAGAATAGAGTTGATTGAGTCAACTAAAACATTATCTTTATTACCAGTTTGATAATATATTATTTATAGGCCATTTGATCTCATTTGTTCATAACGCGAGTAAAAAGGACATTTATAATTATAATATTTTCTGAGGAAGATTAGCCCTAAGCTGACATCTGTGCCAATCTTCCTCCACTTAATATGTGGGTCACTGCCACAGCATGGCTCATGAGTGGTGTAGATCTGCGCTCAGGATCCATACCCACAAACCTGGACCGCTGAAGCAGAGTGCACCAAACTCAACCACTATGCCACAGGGCTGGCCCCTAAATTATAAAATTTTTATAAGGTAGCTAAGCTAAGTCTCAGATGTTTGAATGACTTGCCTAGGCTCCTTACAAGTGTCTGTAGTAGAGAACTATCTTGCACCCCCTTTCCAAGGCCAAAATGAAGACATGACTGAGAAGCCAGGTCCACCTTGACCTCAGAATTGGCACAATCTCAATAGGCCTGCTGGGTCCTGAAAACAGTTTGGTTGGACACCTAAAAGAGTTTTAGAAAGTCACAATATGTCACCCAAGCAGACCACTTCTAATAGTCACAGCTCAAGGGAATGAGATTGTTTAAGATGGCAGCCCCAGCCCCTAGTCCAGAGTATCCTAGAAGGCTAAAGTAAAGCCACAGATGGCACCAAAAGCAGATTCTCCCTGCCCACTCTGTGAACAACGCTCCTAAGGGGTCTATCATTAGCTGCTGGTTGCCTTTTCACCCATCCTTCCCCCATCCCCTGCTTCCTTGCCATTGCTGGGATAATGCATGCAAGTCCCATTATTCCTAAGACTGTGTCTGTAGATAAATTCATGACTAGAAGAATGTGGTGTCGTGGATCTGTGGGGATGGGGGGTGGGGTGGGTGGGGCTGCTAATGATCGTCTTAAGGAATTTAGAATGGAAGCCTGACCTTTGCCTCTCTGTAGAAATTGTGTTTCCAAATGCTTTGGTGCAATGTTTAGCGGCTGTTTATTAAACTCTTTCTGAATTATACTTGGGCTGGCGAACTTTTTTTGGTCACTCTTTGCCTAACACAAGCGGTACTTTGTTCTTGGCTTTCACCTCCACTCTCATGCCACCCTTACCTTCCAGTTCATATTCCACCATAGGCCTGTGCTGGAAAAAAGGTATATCCAGAGCAAGAGACCTACTACAGTGATCCAAAATGGAAGCCATGTGAAAACATAGCTTTGATTGACTCAGGGGTCTCATTACCCAATATGACAGAGAAGGAAACACTTGTATTGCTCCCTCTGCTAAATTCACCCACTCCCAGGACATAGAGAGAGGGATTTTCATTGCAATTCTAAAGGCTCTCTCTTTTCCATTGATTACTATTTCCCTTAGGCAATAGTCTCCTTAGGTAATAGTTATTAGGCAGAAGGAGAGTGAGTGGTTGGTTGATCCACGTGTTGGAAAATGGATGATGACCCTTATTTCTTACAGAATTAGGAAAAATCTGGGAAATAATCTCATGAGATCTGCTTGAGGAAATTGCATGGCTCTTAAGGGATGGGGAAAATCTCCTTGGGAGAGCATTTTAAATCATATAAAAGGTTTTCTTGTCTGAAATAAAATCAGAGACTTGGACAGTCTGACACTTGGTGCATGTTCCAGCCCTGTGGTCATCTGATGGATGCCCTGCTGCCCTAGCAATCTCACAGTCCCTGACTAGTTCAACCATGCCCTGAGAACAACCATGGGAGGCACACATGGCTGCCTCCCTAGCAAAATTGCCTGATACCAATATTTAAGTGTTGTCATTTCCTTGAAAACCTTTTAAAGCCACTTTGCCTCTGAAAACAATGTCCCTAGTCTTAGGGGAAATCTCAAGCTGTTCCCATCAGCACTTCTGTTGCTGAGATACCCTAGAGTTTGAAACCCTATGTCAAACTGGAACCAGCATCTCTGGACTCAAGTATTATATGGTATTTAGTGCATCAGAGTCATATTCCTAGCCATTCTAGAGGCTGCTGGAAGAATGTCTCACACAGTAGGTACTCAATAAATATTTATGAATAAATTAATGTGAATCTAGATCAGAGCTATATGGGGGAGAGTCTCTTCAGGGTGGTGTTGGAGAGGAGACAAGCTAAACCATGATCAGTGGAGATTAATGGAAATATAAATGCAATTTGTAGCTGCCTAAAGCAGCTTGAAGAGCATCCAAGTACTAATAAATGTACTCTGTTTTAAGTCATTTTAGATAGCTGTTTCTTGCTTAAATAATTGTTTGCTCCTATTGGCTTTTAAATCTGGGCGGTTCATTTAATGGCCTATTAGTTCCTCATGCTAAAAGTACTGAGGGCAGGAGAGGAAGGCACGGCTGGGTACCAGGCCCCTCTGAAAGCCCACTGGCCCATCGAAGATGCACCTGTGTTTTGACACCCTTCAGAGGGTTTCCCAGACTGAGCTTGGGAAGAAGGCCCTCCAGAACTCTGAATCTTTCCAAGAAGTCTAGCAGGAGATGGAACGAATGAAAAGGGAAATGGAAGAGAAACAAATTGGGAGAAAATCTGTCAAAGGGGCCCCAGAATTGGAGGCAGGGATCTCTCTTCAGTCTCAACAGCTTCTAATTACACAGGCTCTCTTTCTCCTGGAAACATTAATCATGTGACCACCCACTGGAGTGAGGCTAAAGGTGCCTGTCCTTGTTGACTGGGCAATCTGCCCTCTGGGGCCTCCTGCCTTTTCCATCATAGAGCAACCTTGGACCTGTTCTGCCTTGCATCTGCCTCAGCTCCAACAATTTGATATCAAGGGGAAAACATTGAGAAGAATGAACACTTGGATTTTAGCCAGGGCTTAGTCCCCTCACAGTTGCTGTGTGACGTTGGACTAGTCCCTCCCCTGAGCTAAGACTTCATTTCCCCTTTAGTAAAATGTGGTTCTGATCAGAGACAAGTCAACAGAGTACCCTTTCCAGCAGCAGCTGCCCCTGGTGGTCCACTGTGCCCCCCGAGTATCACCACATCCTGGGGCCCCCACACCAGCACACTCCAGGAGCACAAGCCCCATCCTTTGGTTGCCTGTCGCACAACTCAGATGGTTTGGCAGCTTCAAAATAATTTAATTAAACACTAAGTAAGGACAGCTGGGAGGCTAAACCTGGGAATGCAGGAGCCAAACTCTCAGGTCTATTAGTGATCTCCTTAACACCTCCCCACACACTATATCCTCCACCTGAGCTTCATGTGGGAGTGTCTTGTGAGATGAGATGCAGGATTATTAGTGGCCCAGCTCCAGTCCTAGCGTGGGCCAAGTAGGGTGCTAAATTGAAAAGATTAAGGGAGTGCTGGTGCCAGGCAGGGGGCCTCCAGGTAAGCCAAGAGCATAGATTGGAAACAAAAGACCCCTCCTCTTTTCTTTTTTCCTCCAAAGGTTCAGCTTAGGGGAGAACAGAAATCCTCAGAAGGGAATTCCCTAAACTTCTTGTGACCAAATCAACAGAAGTCATGGGATCTCTCCCTTCCCTTTGTCATAGGCAAAAGATGGTCTCCATCTGTCTAAGGCCAGTCTCTACTTTATTCTTCATCCCTGTTCCTCTCTTCTAAAGGAATTCTATTTCTGTTATCTGCTCTCAGTGAAGCTGCTCTTGCTGAGTCACCACTGCCCTGGTTACTAAAACCTAAAGGCATTTTTCAGTTATGTTACTTGACCTGTCGGCAGCATTTGACACTGCTGACAGTGACTTTATTCTTTGGTTTCCATGACACCATGGTCTCCTGATATCCCTGATTTTTTCCCTGCTACCTTCCGATTGCCTGTGTTTTTTGTATTCAACTTCTCCCACACCTGGGGTTCCCTATAGTGATTTGTCTGCTCTTTTCACTCTACACACTCTCCCTGAATGATCTCATTTGTCCTGATGGCTTCAGTGACTGCATATTTGAATTATCTTTTGTTGTGTAACAAACCACCCCCAAATTTCACGGCACAAAACAACCGTTTATTATTCCCATGGGTCAAGAAGGTGGACAGGGCACAGCAGGGATGGCTTGTCTCTGCCCCACGATGCCTGGGACCTCAGATAGGAAGACTCAAATAAGCAAGGGTAACTTAATTGACTGGAACATCGGGGATGGAGGACCCAATTCCAAGCTCCGCATGGCAGGGGATTCTGTGGTGAGATACAGGCATATTAGTTGCCCAGCTGCAGTCCTGTTCAGCAGGGAAAATATTGGGTCTGAAACTGAAAAAACGAAGGCGGTTCTGGGTGCCAGACCAGGAGGTGGGGTCTGTCACTCATGTGTCTGCCAGCTGGGCTGTGATGGTTGAAGGAAGAGTTCAACTGGGACTGTTGACTAGAACATCTATACCTGACCTTTCCTTATAGTTTCTCACAGCATGGCAGCTGGGCACTGAAAAGGAGCATCTCCAGAAGCGGCCTCTGGAGAACAAGTGTTCCAAGAGAACCACATGGAAGCTGCATGGTTTCTACTGTCCTAACCTGGGAAGTAGCTGCATTCTGTTTGTTACAATAGACTCACTAAAGCTAGCCCAGATTCAAGAGGAGGGGCACCGACCTCACCTCTTAACAGGAGGAGTGTCAAAGAATTTGCACACATGTATGAAAGCCGCCACACTTCCTTTATGCTGATGACTACCAAATCGACATCTCTAGCCTAGTCCTTTGACGTCAAACTTAGCATGTTCAAAGCGGAACTCTTGACTCTTCCACCCACACAGTTCTTCCCTTCATCATTCCTTTATCAATGAACGGAAGCATTGTTTGCTCAGATGCTTAAGCCAAAAACATAGGAGGAATTCCAGACACCTCTCTCGCATCCTCACATCCAGCATATCTGACAATCTTCTGCACTCAGCCTCTAATTTAAATCCCATATCGTGCCCCCTTCTCCTCGCTTCCACTACCAGCACCCTAGTCCAAGCCTCCACCATGATCTCTCACCTGGATCACGACAGAGCTAGCTTTTTAAACTATAAGGCAGATCATGTCACTTGCCTGTTTAATACCCTTCAATGGTATCCTGCCGCATTTAAAATCCAAATCTAACCCTGGCCTTAAAAGTCCTGCTCATCCTCCTGTTACCACAGTGCTGCCTCACTCACAATGCATCAGCCATATCAACTGCACATCAAGTACTAATATGTCTCAGGGCCTTTATGCAGGCTGTTTCCTCAGTCTAGAATGTTCCTTCCCTTCTTGCCCTAACCTGGCTGGCTCTTACTCATCCTTCAGTTCTCACTGAAAGGTCATGTGTGTCATGCCTTGTCCTCCATGGCAAAGCAGCTGTGTGCTTGCTTCCACTCTACTCTGTATTGCTCTGCTATCCCAACATTCACCATGCTTCATTGCAATCTCCCACTAGGTGTGAGGAAGAGCTGCCCCTGCACACCACTTTGTAGGGCCAAAACCATAGTCCAAAGTCAGCAAATACTTATTGAATAAAATAACTTCTGATCTGGGCTTTAAAGGATGATTGAGAATTTTCTAGGCAAAGAGAAGGGCATTCAAGAAGGATGCACAGAGACCCAGAAGTGAGAGAGAACATAATGAGGCTTATGGCCAAGTTTATTTGTCTTAGCTGTCCAGGCACTCTACCCACTAGGATGGATGATGACTATAGTGGTTCTGGACCTAAAAGGTGGTATGGGAGG